CTCTTTCAAAATGTTACTTGATTTGCACAGGAAGTAGGGAAATCAACTCTATAACTAGAAAATGAGTGAGTTCCTCTTTGTGGTGCACAAAAAATTTACTTGGGCTATGGTCATGTGCTTTATATAGTACAGAGATTTCACTTTTTTATTTGACTCTCTATGAACACCTAAAATATGGTTTTATATGCCACAGTTTCCTTAGTAAGAATCAGTAGTGAGAAACAAATGGCTTGAGTGAGTCCTGAAGTCAGTACTATATATGAAAGACTAAAATTAAGAATAAAATATTGCCTAGACTAGTGAGTGATGAGAAGAACTGAGAAAAGAGGGAACCACAGTTATTCAGTACCCTCTGATGGGTGGTTACCTCATCATCATAGAGAAGTCAAACAAATCTTTAGTAAAATTACAGCCATCAGCATAGTAAAATGAATTGAGATTTTTATATTACCAAAGACAGTAAATAAAATAAATGCCCATATCATATTAATGTCAGAAGCTCTTATAATTAATCCTAATTATTTGTTAAGACATTAATTCATATTTGGAAACAAAAATTTAATCAATATATATATAATTAATTCAATAATAGATTATAAAACATTTCTAATTTCAAGTATCAGTTTGAGCAAATATAATCAAATTCAACAATATTTTAGATCTGTATTTGAGAGCTAAATTCAAATATTAAACATCAAATATACTATCAACTTGATTTGGTCTTCTCATATTTCCATTAGAATAACAAAAGTTAAAGAGAAGTACATGCTTCTGAAGAAGTAGGGAGAATACGAACTCAAGACTGATTAAACTGGTTCAGTCATTCTGGAAAATGAGAGAATAAAAATAGCTCAGAGCAGTATGAATGTATATTAAGGACAACTTGAATCTATGCTCCCAGGTTGCAGTCTTCAAACTTGGGCCTAATAAACTCTCTACCGAGGTAAAGTTTACCTCAGTTTTTTTCTTTAGGTTGACAAAATCATATCGGAGGTTTTAGAAAAGATAAAGATATGTATGTTTTGTAACGTGGTACTTGCACTCCAAAGTTTGTACATGGTTCTGCAAGGATGCTTATCATGGTATTGTAGGTGGATGCAGACAGTTGAAGAAATTTGATGTTTATCCCTAAAGTAGTAATGAACACAATGAATTGAATGCTATTAAAATCAACAAACTGGAGGTACATTCGGCAAATTCACAGAGTAGGAAACAGAAAAAGGCATCAGTTAGCTTAAAATATATACAGACACATAGATATTTAAGGAATTTATTTATATTGAATAGTGTACTTCAAGCATCTCAGAGTGGGTAAATGGGATGAGAAGGGAGATGAGAGAAGGAAGGAAAATAAAAATGAAACGAGAATGGATTTCCACAGATTGAGAACAACGAGCTGTGAATCAAAAATGTGACCAGCTCTACTCTGCATGGGAAGAACAAATGAAACACTCAATCAATTAATCAATCAAGAAAAGTATATACTTTGGTGAGCATTAATTAAAAAATAAGTACATTGAAATTTTTTCTAAAAATTTTACTGCAAATTTAATGTTTTCTATTTGTCGCAATTCTTTTTGCTTCCTGCTCCACTTCCATGTTTTTAACCCACCCTAAAAAGCTGAGAGGGTTAAATGAATAACTAAAAATAATTTACAGAGAAAGTGTCATTGAAATATAGAAAAGAAACATCCTGCATCACTCAGAACATTTTTTTATGGCAATGTGAATTCTCTTCATTCAAAAAGCATCTTTTAATATTTTAATTAGGATACTGTGTTATGTGAAAGGAACATCTGATTTTAGAAATGCAAATGAGGGTATGCTATGAAAAGAAGATGCAGAATTAAAAAGGTAATATGTAGTTCAGCAACCAGCTATGAAGAGAAAGAATGTGGAGAAGGATCAAGGAAATAGCATGATTTGAAGTAAAAATTGTACTAGCATTTTTCAAATTTAGCAATTTGACAATGTTAATGACAGTTTTAATATACATGTTACTTACAAATGCAGTAATTATCTTTGGCTAATAAACTTGAAATCAATCAATAAGCATATATTTATTGACAGTAACTAGAAGCAGTTACTGCCCCTATGTGTGTTCCCTATAGCACCTCCAGCCTGCCGAGTAGGTAAATGGTACTCTATGCAGTTATGTCTACCTTGGCTTCCATCTTTCCCCCATTTTCTCTTTTTGCTCATTGCTACAAAACAAGGAGTAATTTCATTGCAGAATATGCTATGTAATATAGCTGGATTTTGAAGTTTTTCCATTTTAAATATAAGAGAATTGAGTCTCTGAAAGGTTAAAGAGGTAGGCCAGTGACCAAGCTGGAACTGAAATCAGTCAGGTTTGCTGTTAAAGCCTGTGATTTCAACAACTAGACTATACTACCTCCGGACAGTAGGACTTCCTCATTCCTAATGGAGAAGTTCATCTCTCTCTCTCCCTCTCTCTTTTTAATTAAATGTTTGTTGTTTCTCTGTGCAAGGAAAAGAAGCCTAGCTAGGGGGGAAAAAACTTCAAAAGAACTATGTAGCGTCCCTTAATCAGGAAAATAACTGTGAGACCACATTCTTCAGGAGAGAAACCTTAAGAAACAGTAAAGATAGGAGAAAGAAGCGAGTGAGAGAGAGAGAGAGAGAGACATCCATCCATCCATCCATCCATCCATCCATCCATCCATCCATCCATCCATCCATCTATCCATCCTGGAGCCATAGAAGTAAATAAAGGAGCTCAATGGGGAGAGAGATGCCCCAAGACAAAAAAAATGTTTCCTGGAATGGCTTTATATTACTAGCAGTTGCTGAGCCCCTTACTTCTTCACACCTGGAGGTTGTGTTGCTCATTCATCAACAAAATTCTTCATAACCAACCCTATGTCCACTACTTAGGCTCCACTGGCTAAGGAGGGCACGAAATACTAGCATGGGATAATGGAAACATACTTTGCAAGTTGGAAAGAGACATGTCCACATAAGAGATTTAGGAACCACACAGATTTAAAAATGGAACTATCATTAGACTATTATATAAAAATTCCCACAATTAATGACATGAGAAATTAACAATGTAACATGAAAGACGTAAGATTTAAATACACGCATATATACATGCATGCATTTATACATAGATGTACACATATATATTGAAATGTAAGATTCAGTGCATGCATAAATGATCATGCACTTATACGCAAGCACATGCATAGCATAAAGAGGTATAAAATACATTAAAATGGCATTAATGTGTCTCAAGATTATAGAGAAATGTTTTGTTCTATGCATTTGTAAAAAATTTTTAGGTTTCTACATCCATGCCTTACTTTTATAATGGAAAGAGCATATTTTTAAAAACATAATTAAGTTCCACACATGCAGAAACACCACTCACTAAACTTGGTGCCAGTAGGCTTTAAGTTTCCCAACTATCTGCTGCAGTTCTGTGACTAAAATTGGACCACACTGGACAAAAACAGTTCTTTGCAACCATGTGACCGATAACTTCAAAATCTCCTGCATAGGAAGCACTAAATAACTTACACAGTCAGAACTAGGGTCGCATTTATAAGCAAAGATCTAGGGTAATTCTCTGAAAGGCTGATCCCACATGTACTTTGGGCATTTAGATTCACTGCTGGTGTGAATGTAGCGTAGATGAAAGTTGCTTCCTGCTACCCAGCAAACCTGTCCACACCTTTCCCTTTCACATGTGACAATCAGCAAAGCCCTTTACATGATGATGGTGCAGAGATATTAACACATATTCTAGCTATAATATTGAAACCACCATAATATTCCCAATGTAACAATTTGTAATTCAATCATATTAATTTTTACTTCAATCATTTAGCTTTCTATGTATCTTCCACATTGAAAGGAAAAATAAATTACTCCAGGCCCCAATTTTATCACAAGAAGAAGAATTAAATATCTTATAAGCCTGGTCTTCTCTAGTGAGTTATAAACAAGTTCCTCTTTCTGAGAAGAAAATTAAATTCCTATTGCATCTGGAAACTCTTGCTAAAATATTTTATTACTGTTGTTAGGAGGTTTAGAATAATGGAGGCAGTGTTGAAGTAAATACAGTGTCTCCATTTTTTGTCTTTTTAATCATTGAATTATCCATGTTACCACCACTTTCATAGTTTCTTTACTGTCAATTCATGAAACAGAAGCTATAGGTGGGGGTATATGCTATTGGATCCACACAATCCAAAAAATGGCTAAGAAAATATGAGAACATCTTAAATGAACCATACTTATTTTCATAGCAGACTTGCTTACAAGATTCAGCATACGTTCAATTCTTGCTATCATGGGAGAAACAGTAGAGGTTGGTTTAGACTGGGTAATAAAGGGAAACAGAAAAGAGCAAATGTGGAGGATACTTAGTTAAAGAATTATTGGATACATAAATTATATATATATCTCCCTGTTTTTTCTTGCTAATTGAGGTTTTATTGAATTTGAAGGCAAATTACAATGCTTCATTCAAATTTATGAAAAATAAACCATTTTCTATATCAATAGCCATCCAAATTAATTCATTCAAATTAGGTATAACGCCCACTCTGTGGAAGGCACTTACATTAAAGTTGTCAATTGCAGGAGCTTCTGATGCAATAATCTAGCTCTTCAGGGAAAATGACCTCCTGTATTTTTAGTAATCACTTTATCCTAACAAAGGACATTAACATCTTTCCAAGTTTAGGGAAAATTGTTTTTCAATAAATCAAAGCCAAAATGAGAATATCAATATTTATTTGTGAGCATTTGTGTTCTCTGGTATTGCCGTGACTCTAAGTAATTCTTCAGTTGCATAACCACTGGAAGAAAAATATGACACATATATTTCTTTCTTTTTCTTTTTTTGCTAGAAAATAAATTGTGAATCTACAGGGCCTAAGTAGAGTCACTGATTAAATTTAGTAAGCATTTACTGTTCATCTTTTATGTGCAAGTTACAGCCTGGAATAGAAAGATGAGTAACTCACCCTCCTTGGCATCAGAGGCTCTCAATTTTCATGCCTGGTGGGGAGAAGTGGAAGAATGAACACAAAATTGATCACTTTTCTAAAAGAATTAATCATGAGTTATGTAATATTTGATTGCCAAACTTTACAAAGAAATTGACATGACCTAGAGATTATATATGGTTATGACACTAGAAAAAATTGTAATAGAATGAATAGTATATGAAGTGCACCCAAAGACAGATAAAGTTGGAGTACCATAGGAGCTACACCCTAAGAAGATTAATCAGCTGTGGGGCGGCACTGTTGATGAATAAGGAGGCAGGAGAGGTAAGCCTGAGAATTGCATTTGAAAGGACTTTTCAGAGTTCAAGAATTAGGAGGCTCTGCATTAGAAGAAATGGTCTAAAAAATGGAAATGTAGGAATAGAATATTGATATATTATAGACATAGAATTTGCATTGATTAAATATAGAAAAAGTGGGAGAAGGATAATAGCACCAAGTTCAAAAAACTAGGATCTATTAACAGAAATGAAGAAAAGCATATTTGGGGAAATATTGAGACTAGGAAATGAATGGATTTGTTGTTTAACCTGCCAAGGCTTGGCTCCTTGCAGAATACCCAAGGCAGAGTGTCGAGGAGACTGGAATGCTGGTCTATAGATACAATTGCAGGACTCGCTGATGCTAAAAGCATAGGAATAGATGAAATTCCTAAGAAAGAAAGTCCCACAAAAAGGGTAGGTTTAAAGAGAGAAGAAAGATATTTGAAGAGTGAACCTAAGGGACAATGTCTGTTAAAGGATATTAAACTATGATAATGTAAATCGATGTGATTCCCATTTTTGCTTTCCAGCACTTGCCAAGGAAATTGTAGTTTTATTGATATTCAACTCAGTATGAGAGAATTCAATGAGGTTTACAATTTTATTGAGAATTTCACAGCCTGTGGAATGTCCCTTATGTGATGAAAAATATTGGAATACAATTCCGTGGTGCTGATAGGGTAACTTTTATTTTCTTCTAAGTAGATAGCAATAAATAAATTCTGTCACTTATGCAGCATATTATGGAAACATAAAAACTTACAAGTGCCAAACAAATTCCTGTACATTGGGAAAATTCTTATTTAAACGGCAATAATTTTTTATTGATCTGATAAGCTATCATTCATCCTTGTTTTCTTAAGATAGATCCAATTTTGTTTCCTTTCTCTTTGCCTAAGCAAAGCAAAGTGAGCTGGGTACCCATATTTCTTTCATGGACAAAAGAATTGGCAGAGTCCACCATTCTGTCACATCAATGAAAGTAAAACATTAATATATGAATAATAGTGGTGATTAATTGTATTAATGGCAACGATAATAACAACATAAGCTGTAATTCCTCCAAATGTACTAATTTGCATGAAAACAGCCTACAGTAGCAGTAAAATTCCTCCCCTCCATTTTCTTCTCTTGTAAGGTGTCTGTGTGTGTACTAGAGCCAGTTCTCTCGCTTACCATGGGGTCTACTATTTCACTCCTCCCTCCATCTGTCTTGCTAAGTCATCATAAGTCAACAGTGGGACTTGCCTTCTGTTATCTCTGCTAGCTGAACCATAAAGTTCTCTCCTGCTTTTAATTTACATGCAGTTTGTTCCTGCTTCATTTTCAGGCTACTGGGTCTTGAGAGTGTCCTGAAAGTAGGAAGAAAGAATCCCTGTTCCCAATGTGACCCACTCTTGCTATCTAATTCACAAATTACCGCAGCCTGTATTTTTATTTTTTGAAAGGCTGTTCTAAATTTACACATTGGAGACTGTAGTCTTCTCTCCTTAATACTCAAACCTAAGAAAGCTTGGGCTACGCAAAATGTTAATTTGAGTATCACATTTTCAAAGTATATCTCCAAGCCCTGTGTCCTTTTTGAGAGTGGCACATCTTATCTTACGTACTTTTCAATCAGGAGGAATTTGTTTAGTTTTGTTTTTCCTAATTATAATGCTCTTTAATCGCTCATGGAAAAAAATACACTCCAGTAAGGCCGAATTATTAAGCTTTTAACATGAAAGATAAAAATTTGAGGGTAAATAAAGCTTAATGGCGAAAGCTGGGGAAAAACATGTTTACATCATCACCATCATCATAACTATCACCATTGTCTTTGTCATCCTGGACAACTATAGTCAAATGGATTAGGTTTCTCAACTCTTCACCCCCTCACTGTAATAGGATTACATACAAATCTTTTGTCTCATGACGTTGCAGTGCCTTCCAGCACAGCAGGCGGAATATCCATCCTTACTCCGCTAACTTTGGGCTGAACCATGTGACTTGCTTTGGTTCACAGGATGTTATTAAATGTGATGAAGGCAGAGGCATTGAGTATACGTAAATGGTTTGTCTTGACTGCTTGTCATTTTGTCATCTGTGATGAGAAGAGTATACCAGGTAGAGCCACTAGTCCTAGAATGAGAAGAAATGCTGAGCATACCTGAATACCACTTGCAGCCTGGATCCCAGCCCAGGTGACCCCATCTGTGCTGAACAATGCCCAGCAATACCACAGCTGACCTGCAAGCACATGAGCAAGAAAGAGTGTGGTTAGATACTGTAGTTTTAGAGTTGTTTATAATGCAGCAACATCACAGAAAAAATATACCTTATAGAACCACAAACAATGGAAATGTGCTGTGTAGCTTTTCAAAACCAGATCGTATATCTTAGATCAATACCTAAGTATAAAAATACAAAGGACAAGTATAAAATTTATATTATAGAGTTAAAAATCTTGTGATTTTACAACACTGAATTGGGTAGGAAAGATGGAGCTGTGACTGGGGCACTTTTAGAAAGAAAAAATAGAGGAAGACCCTTACCTTCCCATCCTCCCACAACCAACCAATTAATTTATGTGTTAATTTTGTTTGTTTCCTTGACAATGGAAGATAAACATTTTTGTGCAAGACCCTTGGAGAGCTCAGGAGGGTGTAGAGGGTGGACTATTCTGCTATACCCCACACAGTGTAGGACAGTAAGTAGCTCCAGAGTCTGGAGCCAGACTAGCTGGAATTAAGAATGAGCTCTTCTATTTGCTGGCTTGTGTGATTTAGCAGTGGTGCCTCAAGCCCGGTGAAGAGAAGAATCACATAAATATGGGGAGGAAACTGTTCTCCTCACTTCCATCCCTGGTCAAAGAACATCTTTGGCATTGTGAAAGGATAAGGTAGCCACTATTGGCCAGTGTCACTGCTCTGTGGGTGACATATTCAAGTGGAGGGCACAGACAGTGGAGAGACAAATAGATCTCAACTCAGAGCAAAACAACACGAGGTGCTATGTTTTTTAGCCCATTGGAGACCACCTGCTTTGTAGTGTTTAAGAATTAACAGAGTTTTTAAGTAAAGGACAGGTACTGCTACTGGTAGAGCTTACCTCAGAGCTTGTAAAACTCATGAATTGATATTAATGTGGTGAAGCCTTGAAAAGATGTGTTATATTTATCCTTGAATAAATTTAATTCATCTCAACAAATATTTATCAAGCATTTACTATGTGTGAAATGTTATTTATGAATAAGAATGAAAGCAGTGTGCCTGAAGCAGCACTACTTATCAGTTTAAGCTTTTTAAAGTAAATTTCAGATATTTGAGATTGGGAAGCATATTTCTGTTATATCTTCATGCTTGGTTTCAGCATTGGTTGACAGAGCCCTGGATTAGTGGCAGGTGAGAAGTTTGTGTTCCGGTGATGTCCAGTCATAACTGGTGATCCCAACACTAGTCACCCATTGGTTCTAGCTGTACCACCTCTATTTTCTCAACTGTAAAGTGAGAAGATTATCCCAAACTATCCCAGAATTATTATTCTCTCTACATGTAAAATTCCATAATTGAACTTTGAGTCTCAATTCTTTAACTCTATCCTTATATTTCAAATATCCTTGGAATTTATAAATGTTATTAATGTAAGGATTGCAAATTAAAGAATATGAAGCAGTGGTCTTAGAAAGTAATTCAACTAAGATTTATTGGTTATATTAATCCAAATGTCAATACATTAGTAAAAATAATGATGTCGGGATGTTATAATTCTACATAGGATAAATGGAAAGAAATGTCTCAAATAAATCAGCAAGTATATATCACTTGTGACTTTGCATTGTGTTATATGCACACAAGGATCAAAATGAAAGCCAAGAAACGTGCTCCGTGAAGAGTTAAGTTTGAGTTTTCAATATAATGTGAAATAGCCATTTACACAGAACTCAAACGTGATTTTGTTAAAGAATTTTTTTCCTCAAACAGCACAGCAGACCCATGGTTGGAAAAACTTTAAAATAAATAAATAAAAATCTACATTCCTTTAGCATCCTTTAAACATGACTTAGGCAAAGTAGGATTTGTTAGTGGTGTATAAATAGCATGAACCTAATGCCACCAGAAGATTTTTAACTATATAAAAGCTCTATATCAGTCAGGATAAAACTATCTTCACATACATGCAGTAAGTTATAAACCTGTGGCATTTTAAGTTGATCATGAATCAGAATTATTTTTATATTACTACTAAGAGACCCATTTAAAAACAGAAATCCCCCCAACATCATTCCATTATTACTAAAACTTTCAGCTGTTTTAAACATAACAAAAATAAATAATTGATATTTAAGGTGAAACTTCATTTATTCTATGCCTAATATATTAAAAAGAATATACCGATATAAAAGATTCGCTGTTGTATAAAAAGGTATAGTTTTTCCTTCTGGAAAAATTATGGTCTTTTTTAATTAAACCAGTTTGATTTTATATGTATGAAATGATTTAAATTTTAATTTTTACCTACCAAAATGTTAATTGTACAATGATTTTGATTATATCATGAGTCACTTAGACATAAATTTTCTGTGTAGATAATAAATAAACTAATAATTTGCAAAGCATCTCTATTTATAGTTTCTGTCCAGTTGTGAGGAGCAAAAAGTAATATTTAATGTTACCTGTAAGTCAGTCTTTTTTCTTTTTATTTTCCTTTTTTTTTTTCCGGCCTGTTGGTTGCCAGTTTATTTCCTTTTGGTTTCTTGACACTTCTCTGGCATTTCTGAAGAAAGGTCTTAAGTGTGTGTGTGTCTCCCAGTAATCATATTATCGATAATATTTGACACCACTGCCCCTACGGGACACTTTTAGCAAGCCAAAGTAGTGAACTTTATTCTAACAGGAAAAATTCAAACAAAACTGGACAAAATATCTGACTCTTACATGTCCCTTACAAGTTAAAAGACCAATGTGTCCCCTTGAAACCTTTTTACTATATTGTTTCAGGTTAGGGCTAAATTCCAGTGCTATAATCTGCTATGTGAAAGATATAAGTTTCATAATATCTATTTAACTTTGATTAACATCATGTTAAGGAAAAATGAGGACATTTACAGAGTAAACATTAATAGCTTTTTAAACTGATGGCTAAATGTACCTTGATACAAATACAGGAAGAACCACTATAAATGCTACATCTTACATTCTTACCATACACAGACTAGATGAATCTATGCCAAAAGGATTTAGGTTTGCAAAAAGTGTGTTTTTTTTTTCTTCATTTCTTATGGATGTTTTGGATAAAGTATAAAGACATCAATACAGGTCAAGTGAGTTGCCATTTTGGGTTGAAACTATTTCAAAGAAGATGGTAGAAAACATGACATACAATCTCTAAAACCATTTACCAACATTGAGGATATAAAAATAGGGAAGGGGCATTTTTGTATTAATAGCAAGTGTATGCTATGCTCTTGAGTCATGCTCCCTCTGACCTGTAAGGAGGAGGAATGGAGGGTGCTTCATTATTTGCCATTTGTAGAACATAAAATGTGCCCCTTTCAATGTAAGGATGCAGTAGTCTGGTTTTTAACTTTTGCCTGGAAAGCTGAGAGGTGGGCTTGTCTCCAGCTTTGAACCTGTACAAAAAGAGGCGCAATGGTTGGGAGGCAGAGTCCGTGGAGCAAAGATTATGTAAATGATTCTCTTGAACCAGACTGTAGAGCCAGCATGAGGTCATCTGAGATCCTGATTGAGATGGCTTCCTTGGGAAACAAGATTAAAGGGGAAAAAAAGCAATTGAGGAGTATATAAGGATGAGAAAGAAGTAAGTGACCAACACGGAGAGAGATTCATTCACTCTGTCCACAGAACTGCAGCTGAGAAAGCCTCATTGGCAGGTGGAGAAAGAGCTATAACTGGATCATCACACTAATATTAGTCAATTCAGAACTTTTCTAGCCTCCTTGTGTATTCCTTTGCCTCATACGCCACATTTGGAAGAGGTCAGAAAATACCCATGGCAAGATGAGGAAAAGGAGCAGAGGAGATAAGCGAGGGAGGAGAAGATACATTGGAACTCACTTTTGAAGGTTTTATCTTATACAGGGCTAGACATTTTAAATTTTGAATTATGACTGAAATTCAAAGGACTAGAGGACTTTTACTATCTAAAAGTGATGATAAAAGTTATAGAATCTGCTTGAGTTTCATGAAAGAGCAGGAGACAAAAATAACTCCATATAGCATATTCTAAGTACAAATGGAAATAAAAATAAAGTTGCTTGTGATTGCCCCTACAAGTATGACCAGTTCAATTACGGTGAGAATCCAAGGGCTGATATACTTATTCGTAGCAAATGAGTCAACATTTTTAAAAGACAATGATTTATAAATTAGCAAAGAACTAAAGAAGTAGTTTTGGCTAACATTACTTAAAGTCCTTTTTTACTTCCTCACATTCAATTTTTTTCTTTATAATTTATTTCTAAGAACAGGAATCTTCTGCTTAACAGCAGTCAGTAATACATTTCTGAGAATCAGATACTGTATGCCAAAATGCTAACTGGGTATCTATCTCCCACTGGGAAAAGAAAACAATTTGATACAATATATGTCAATCCCAAATTCCAAAGGTTGATTTCTTATGAAATTGATGAAGCTTAACCTTCAAAGTCCTTCACTTGTGAACCCATTCCAAAATCCTGGGAAGAAACTTGTAACATTCATAAATACAAGATTATTTATTATTATTCTAAAGGGGACCTCACCCCACTATTAAAAATGACAGCCTTTACAAAACTTAGGTTCACTCTAAACAGAACAATCAAGTTATTTCCTAGATGTAAATAAAATGTAGAAAAACCCTACATGGAAATATTCTTGAAAGTAAAATTATTAAACATTGTGTCCTGATTACCAAATAATTGATATGATTAGTACAATAGTCGCTTTTGTGTATAGTAACATCTTTTCTACTATGTTTTTTCATTTATTTGTTTTCTTATTCATAGTTTCTTTAATACTTTCTTAATTTAAAGGGGGAACTCATTGTATAATACTAGGTTAAAATAAGGGTGAACTTTTAAGGACACTTTGGAAACACTTTCAGGACAAGTAGAGCAGGCAGAGAATGGCTCACGATGAGTGTGATGCTGCAATGGTTCTTAGAGCCAGAAATACCCCCAGTACATGTCACTTTTGTTGATACATGCTGCTTTTTGCAAGGTATGTGTGATTGTCATGTTTTATTAATTA